TTGTTTTGCGAACTGGATGTAACAAGATATACTGATCACTTGCCCTTAGTTATTTCACTGATTTTATTTTCCGCAAGATCAAGAAGCACGAGTTGATTTAACTGTCGAAAAACAGAGGGATCTATATCTTTGAGCAAATTATGCCGTAACTGTAAAACCTCCAAATAAGGTCCGATATCGCTAAAAGCATTATGACGAAACATTGACAGTCCAGAACGCTGTATAGACAATCTCTTGGGTCTTATCTAAAAAAAATCATTTTCAGTAGAGTTGTAAGAATAAAGATACAGCAATAAAGCAAAATAGTGGGCGTAAACTGCAACGGCACCTGTGAAAACATGCCGGCTGGAATGATATTTATAAGTGAATCCCAAATCCACAATTTTGAAATGACCGTCCCATTAAGTGCTTTCAAGGCGTTAAATACATGAGGCATTTTTTGTCTCGCACAACCAACCCATGAATCAACATTGTTATCTCCTTCATTACCAGGCGACGACTTATAGCCAGAAAAACATTCACAAGCAGGCTGTGGCTGAAAAACACCAATTAGTGTTTGCTAAGCAACTTGGATACATAACCAAATAAAAAGTCATGAGAAATTTACTGGAAAGCTACTATAAAAGAAAATATGTAAATTTAGAGAAGTTAATATGGAGAAAACTTTGAAATGACAAAGAAGTATACAAGTATAATTTTTAAATTCCACTTAAGTTACAGGAAAAAACCAACTTCTTCTAAATTAAAATTCAGTCAACTTCGCTGCATAAAAATGTTCTAAAAGTCTCTTTCTTTTTTCTTGTAACTTACAAGGTCATTAGCTTTTGCTGATTTTGCTAAAATGTCGTTAATATCGGAACAGACTGAGGGCGCCGGAGATGCCGTAAGTGCGCATAAAACAGATAAACAGGAAAAAAGGCAAAATAACATTAATACTTTCATGATAATATCAAATTTTCTAGAGTGCCACAAAAGGCTTCGGCGATACGGGAGGCGAAAATCGCCAAGGACAAAACCTACGCTTGTTCAGGTGGTAGTTATCTGTCTAAAAAAACATCCAGTCAACGATAATTCAACGATAGAGTTGTCATCGTAAATAAAAAGCAAAAAGAATCATCTTCATCCAGAAGAAAAGCTCAACAAATAACTGTTTGAGTTCAAAAAATAAAAGTAAAATAATAAAATTAAAAAAAAAAAAGAAAATTCACAGAAAGCAAAATTGACAATAAAACGGTCAAATATAAAAAAAAAAATTTACACTAACATCAGATGTTTGATTAGTGTAAGCGACAAAAAAAAATGCAACAGAGTGATACGAAAAAACAAATGCAAAAGGGATGGCGTTCGTCCAACAGTTCGGCGGGTTAAGACGACATTTTTTTTGTTTAACCCCGTCGGTCAAACGTTTTATATATACTCCATTTGAATCCTCCCATCGCTTTCACTCTCGTGACGAACGCAATTGGCAAAATGCCAAGACCTCTCCTGAGCGTTGCTACCACTTAAAAGTTGTGTTTTGTGAGTCCTTAGAAACCCCAGTAGTTTATGGGATACCTAAAGGTTGCCTGCTTTCCCTAACTTAAAGAAGAAAGAAAACAATTTCTTTTAAATTTTCGGAAAATCGTCTTGTTTTTGTAATCCATTTTCTAGATGATTAGAATGTTCAGTTTGCGAGAGGTAATTTAATTGCTTCGCGAGATCTCGTGCTATGTTGCATTTTTTTTCTATTCCTGATACTCGCACGCAATTATGTCTTCACACTCGTAATTTCGTAATCATTGGTTCTCGACTTGCTGGAATATTGACCCTGGGTCCCTTAAGAGAAGTTACGCTTGAACCAAAATTGCATACTTTCCAGATGTTTGAAAAATTTGGAAATGTATTTTTGAGGACCGTCTAATGTTCTCTGAAATCTAGTATCATACACTTTTGATTCTGAGGTCACTGAGTAATACTTTACATTACTGTTTGAGGAAAACTGACTTGCATACGTAAACCAATCTGTAACTGCACTGATTAATATATTCTGTCAAATCTAACACCTCATGTTTTATGTAGCTCGTGATTACCAACATGGAAGTACGGAAGAGCAGGAGGAAAAAATTAAAGAAATAAAGCTGAAGGCTTTAGAAGTAGAAGAGCTCACTGCCGTCCAGCGATTTCGAGTAAGGACACTTAAAAACTTATTTATGAAATAAACTAACCTTTTTCAAAGACTAGTGCAAGTTTTCATTTCTTGATCAAATTTAAAAAGTGCATGGCATTTAGTTTCCAGAAAGTACATGGTAACTCTGAACTGTATGTTAAGCAAACCAGCTAAACAACCAGCGAGCCCAAGTCCTTTGTTTTCCACAAGAAGAAGCAGAAATTGCACGGGTACGAAAACCTTTGTGCTTGGCTAAAATCCAAGAAGCCATTCGACTATGCTATCCGTAAAAAAATTTTAATTACGTGATTTTCATGCGTTCCTTAACTTCGCTATTTTTTCGTTAACTTCCACCGTTGAATACTCCTGATTGTTTGGCACTATTTAACGAATCGTGGTAGTACTGTACAATAGCAAACAGCGATGGCGGAAACGTTATATAAATAAGTAAATATATATATCTAAGCCAGCAAACTCGATAAGCCTACAGAATTGTTGCAAGTTTGTTCAACCAATTCTCGACAACAAAATCAAACTTCATATGCTTCATGTTAACAGCGTTATCCTATGAAGTGTAAACATAGCAAGTATACCAAGTAATCCAAAATGCAACCGAAGAATTTAGCGAGAAGAAAAGTATTTAAACTAAAGGGCCTACGGGTCATAAATTCTTTCCCAAATTTAACATTCCCATTTTTAAAGTTGAATGTTTATTTGAGTCATCCTCTTATCCCAAGCAGAGTTATGGCTGTTGAACTAACACTGTATCCTTTGGAAACTACGGTTTCATCTTACACGAGCTAACAATTACCTCTCCAAAAAAAAAGTTATTTTTGGGTATAAGTGAAGACGTTTTTTCTTATCATTTAAATTTACACCCTTGCTATTTATATCTCTTTACATGTACCTTCTGGCTCAACTACCGAAACGTAACCATTGGTGAAGGACACTCGCTAATAGAATTTGCTCACGTGGCAATTTTAAAAAATTCTTCCAGTTGAACCAACACTCGTGCATAAAATCTGGTACGCACAGCAACTGTAGAAACACTAGAAAATAAAAGACACATGGAAGGGACACCAAGGTTGGGAACACTTCTTTAAGAATACGGCTTAGTCGTAAAAATCGATATATATATA